GTTTTTTTTTAAGAATATAACCAGAGTTCTCTCCAGTTGCCTTGTGCGCAAGGTTTTTTTTATCTTTACTCGTGAATTCGAGTTGTTTCCGTCCAAAGAACGATATCTTCCCCTTCGTCTACTAGAACGATATCTAGTCACTCATTCCGTTACCACGCTGCGTCAATGCAGAACAGGTTCAAGTTCAAAGGAAAATTAGTTAATGGATACATTGGATAGATTTCAATCCTTGTATTCATTGACACATTGGATTGTATTCACGTCTTTCAAACTCTTCAAGGTTTAAAGGTTAGGTGCTTTGTATTTGATACATTGTATTTGGTACAAGAGTTTAACAGAGTGTTTTAGTATTTATTTCTGTATTAGGGAATTAACTGCTTGAGTATCTAGTAGTTAGTATAAATATGTTTGTAAGCCCTGTGGCAAAATGATAGACAGAAAGAAAAGAGTTTTCTTAAGAAAATAACCAGAGTTCTCTCCATTTGCCTTGTGCTGAAGGTTCTTTATCATTGCTTATGAATTCGAGTTATTACCGTCTGAAGAACGATATCTTCAACTTCGTCTACTAGAACGATATCTAGTCATTTATTGCATTTCAACGCTTCGTCAATGCAGAACAGGTTCAAGTTCAAAGGCAAATTAATTAATGGATACATTGGATACATTTCATTCCTTGTATTCATTGATACATTGGATTGTATTCATGTCTTTTAAACTCTTCAAGGTCAAAAGGTTAGGTTGTTTGTATTTGACACATTGTATTTCGTACTAGAGTTTAAGGGAGTGTTTTACGATTTACTTCTGTATTCGGAAATGCACAGTTTGAGTATCTAGTAGTTAGTATAAATATATTTGTAAGCCCTGTGGCAAAAAGATAGAGAAAAGGAAAAGAGTTTTTTTAAGGATGTGACCAGAGTTCTCTCCATTTGCCTTGTGCGCAATGTTGTTTATCTTTGCTCGTGAACTCGAGTTGTTACTGTCCGAAGAACGATATCTTCCCCTTCGTCTACTAGAACGATATCTAGTCATTCATTCCGTTACAACGCTGCGTCAATGCAGAACAGGTTCAAGTTCAAAGGAAAATTAGTTAATGGATACATTGGATACATTTCAATCCCTGTATTCATTGATACATTGGATTGTATTCATGTCTTTCAAACTCTTTATGGTCTAAAGGTTAGGTTCTTTGTATTTGATACATTGTACTTGGTACAAGAGTTTAAAGGAGTGTCTTAGTATTTATTTCTGAATTAGGAAATTCACAGTTTGAGTGTTGAGTAGTTAGTATAAATATGTTTGTAAGCCCTGTGGCAAAAAGATAGAAAAAAAGAAAATAGTTTTTTTAAGAATATAACTAGAGTTCTCTTCATTTTCCCTATGCGCAGTGTTGTTTGTCTTTGCTCGTGAATTCGAGTTGTTACCGTTCGAAGAACGATATCCTCCCCTTCGTCTACTAGAACGATATCTAGTCATTGATTCCATTACAACGTTGTGTCAATGTAGAACAGGTTCAAGTTCAAAGGAAAATTAGTTAATTGATACATTGGATACATTTCAATCCTTGTATTCATTGATAGATTGGATTGTATTCATGCATTTCAAACTCTTCAAGGTCTAAAGGTTAGGTTCTTTGTATTTGATACATTGTATTTGGTACAAGAGTTTAAAGGAGTGTTTTAGTATTTATATCTGTATTAGGAAATTCACAGTTTGAGTGTCTAGTAGTTAGTATACATATGTTTGTAAGCCCTGTGGCAAAAAGATAGAAAAAAAGAAAAGAGTTTTTTAAGAATATAACCAGAGTTCTCTCCATTTTCCTTGTGCGCAACGTTGTTTATCTTTGCTCGTGAATTCGAGTGGTTACCGTCCGAAGAACGATATCTTCCCCTTCGTCCACTAGAACGATATCTAGTCATTCATTCCATTACCACGCTGCGTCAATGCAGAACAGGTTCAAGTTCAAAGGAAAATTAATTAATGGATACATTGGAAACATTTCAATCCTTGTATTCATTGATACATTGGATTGTATTAATGTCTTTCAAACTTTTCATGGCCTAAAGGTTAGGTTCTTTGTATTTGATACATTGTATTTTGTTCAAGAGTTTAAGGGAGTGTTTTAGTATTTATTTATGTATTAGGAAATTCACTGTTTGAGTATCTAGTAGTTAGTATAAATATGTTTGTAAGCCTTGTGGCAAAAAGATAGAAAAAAAGAAAAGAGTTTTCTTAAGAATATGACTGGAGTTCTCTTCATTTACCTTGTGCACAAGGCTGTTTATCTTTGCTTGTGAATTCGAGTTGTTACTGTCTGAAGAATGATATCTTCCCCTTCGTCTTCTAGAACGATATCCTGTCATTCATTCCATTACAACGTTGCGTCAATGCAGAACAGGTTCAAGTTCAAAGGAAAATTAATTAATGGATACATTGGATACGTTTCATTCCTTGTATTCATTGATACATTGGATTGTATTCCCGTCTTTCAAACTCTTCATGGTCTAAAGGTTAGGTTCTTTATATTCGATACATTGTATTTGGTGCAAGAGTTTAAGGGAGTGTTTTAGTATTTATTTCTGTATTAGGAAATTCACAGTTTGAGTATCTATTAGTTAGTATAAATAAGCTTGTAAGCCCTGTGGCAAAACGATAGAAAAAAAGAAAAGAGTGTTTTTAAGAATACAACCAGAGTTCTCTCCATTTGCCTTGTGCGCAAGGTTGTTTTTCTTTGCTCTGGAATTTGAGTGGTTATTGTCTAAAGACTGATATCTTCCCCTTCGTCTACTAGAACGATATCAAGCCACGCATTCGATTACAACGCTGCGTCAATGCAGAACAGGTTCAAGTGCAAAGTAAAATTAGTTAATGGATACATTGGATACATTTCAATCCTTTTACTCATTGATACATTGGATTGTATTCACGTCTTTCGAACTCTTTCAGGTCTAAAGGTTAGATTCGTTGCATTTGATACATTGTATTTGGTACAAGAGTTTAAGGCAGTGTTTTAGTATTTATTTCTATATTAGGAAATTCACAGTTTGAGTGTCTAGTAGTTAGTATAAATATGTTTGTACGCCCTGTGGCGAAAAGATAGGAAAAAACTAGAACGGTATCTAGCCATTCATTCCATTACAACGCTTCGTCAGTGCCGAACAGGTTCAACTTCAAAGGAAAATTAATTAATGGATACATTGGATACATTTCATTCCTTGTATTCATTGAGACATTGGATTGTATTCACGTCTTTCAAACTCTTCAAGGTGTAAAGGTTAGGTTCTTTGTATTTGATACACTGTGTTTGGTACAAGAGTTTAGGGGAGTGTTTTAGTATTTATTTCTGTATTAGGAAATTCACTGTTTGAGTATCTAATAGTTAGTATAAATATGTTTGTAAGCCCTGTGGAAAAAAGATAGAGAAAAAGAAAAGAGTTTTTTTAAGAATATAACCAGAGTTCTCTCCATTTGCCCTGTGCGCCAGGTTGTTTATCTTTGCTCGTGAATTCGAGTTATTACCGTCTGAAGAACGATATCTTCCCCTTCGTCTACTAGAACGATATCTAGTCATTCATTCCATTACAATGTTGCGTCAATGCAGAACAGGTTCAAGTTCAAAGGAAAATTAATTAATGGATACATTGGATACATTTCATTCCTTGTATTCATTGATACATTGGATTGTATTCATTTCTTTCAAACTCTTCAAGGTCTAAAGGTTAGGTTCTTTGTATTTGATACATTGTATTTTGGTACAAGAGTTTAAGGGAGTGTTTTAGTATATATTTCTGTATTAGGAAATTCACAGTTTGAGTATCTAGTAGTTAGTATAAATATGTTTGTAAGCCCTGTGGCAAAAAGATAGAAAAAAAGAAAAGAGTTTTTTTAAGAATATAACCAGAGTTCTTTCCATTTGCCTTGTGTGCAAGGTAGTTTATCTTTGCTTGTGAATTTGAGTTGTTACCGTCCGAAGAACGATATCTTCCCCTTCGTCTACTAGAACGATATCAAGCCACGCATTCGATTACAACGCTGCGTCAATGCAGAACAGGTTCAAGTGCAAAGTAAAATTAGTTAATGGATACATTGGATACATTTCAATCCTTTTACTCATTGATACATTGGATTGTATTCACGTCTTTCGAACTCTTTCAGGTCTAAAGGTTAGATTCGTTGCATTTGATACATTGTATTTGGTACAAGAGTTTAAGGCAGTGTTTTAGTATTTATTTCTATATTAGGAAATTCACAGTTTGAGTGTCTAGTAGTTAGTATAAATATGTTTGTACGCCCTGTGGCGAAAAGATAGGAAAAAACTAGAACGGTATCTAGCCATTCATTCCATTACAACGCTTCGTCAGTGCCGAACAGGTTCAACTTCAAAGGAAAATTAATTAATGGATACATTGGATACATTTCAATCCTTTTACTCATTGATACATTGGATTGTATTCATGTCTTTCAAACTCTTCAAGGTCTAAAGGTTAGATAAAACTCATTTCACTAGACTTTCTTTTTTATTTTTTGTTTTATGCTTAGCATGATTTTAAAATTAAACTATGGTTTCTAAGTTATTTAATATATTGACATTTAATTTTGATTTATATCTTTAATTTTGGCATTAAATATTAATCATAGGTTGGACCTTAACAAATTAAACCATTTAATTAATTATTGCATTATCTAAATTAAAAATATTTTTTTTTTACAAGCATACCAAGTCGTACCTGTACCTTATTTTTTTTGAATTTTACCATATTAACGTATCTGTGTCGTATCAATGCCAATACTCGTATTCGTACCCATACATGTACCCGTGCTTCATAGCTAGAAAGAATAACACAAATGCTAACAGAGTATGAAGGGGTGAGGAACAATCAATCAGGCCCATAAAAATCAATGAAGCCAAAAAAAAATAAAAAAGAAAATAAAAGAAAAGAAAATTCTTGAATTCATGATTGACATCTTTAAAACATTTGAGGAAACAATATACTTACTTTTACAGGCAGATCAACTGGAAACAGATTTAGGCTACTGGGATTAAAACTGAATGAGCTGCAGAAAGGGAATGTGACAAGAAAAAGAAATTAGTGCCTTAGTGGTATGCAAATATGAATGAAAAGGTTGAATAAATAACGATATTCAAGATGGCTCCATTCAGTTGCTAATATTTAGTTAATAGACCCAATCATGCTTAAAAATTCAATCAAAGCTATTCTTAATCAACTAAAATCTACAAATAAGTGCATCATGCTAGAAATTACAGACAGCAACACAAAAAAAACTAATCCATCCACAGCATGCATATCTTTATTTCCGTCTTTTCAACAGGAAAATAATGTTCTAAAGTGAGAAAAAAACAGTTACTAACTTTAAAATGTAAAATGCACTTCGTTACATTTTATATATTTTTATAACATCTTTTAAGGCAGAAGCATAGATCCTACAAAAAAATGTTGATTTTATCTGGTGCAGGAAACATACCTGCGAGATATAACTAGCTGCCACACATAAGGAATAAAGAACTCCTCAGGATGGCTCTCTTGTTCATATGTAAAGCGTAATTGAGTAAACATCTGTTAATTGGATAAAAAAAAA